TTTATTACAAGATATTATTAATGAAGCCTCAGTCGTAGCCAACAGTTTATCACCAGAAAAGTCTCCCAGAAGGTACCTACAAGCAATTATTCTTGTGATAAAACCGATTTTTCAAAAATAAATAATTCTACTGACTTGTAAAAAGTTTTTACAGTTTAGCTGTCAATTTTACAAGTCAGTAGAGCCAGTAGCTTGTAAAAATCAATTTTCGCTGGTTATGTTTTGACTTGATAAGTGACGTTTTACAAATGAGTGACAAATAAAAGTTTTTACTTGCACTATTATTTACCTATCGAAATATTTTTACTGTTTAAAGTGTTGGTAAAATATCCTCGGAATTATCTTAATTAGGGGTCCATCTTCTGTTTATCTCAAGAAAATTATTCGATTTATAGTGTATACGGCCTTATATCCTTTCTCTCTCTGAATTTTTTTTTTTTGAACAATTGCTTCAAACTAGTCATATCGTCAATCAAATAGATTTTGTTGTTTGTACCTTCTAATCCACATGCATTCACCGTACTACATTTTCGCTCTTTTATTTTTCTCATAATTTCTTGCTTTTTTCCATTGTGTCCTAATTTTACCAGGATCATGGTATAATCCTGGAGATTAATACGATAATTTTGTTGAATTCTCGTGTCAATGGTGATTCCTAGGGACGTGAATATTTTATTTTGTTACTTAATATCTGTTCAAATTTTGCTGCTTAGGTACTCCAGCAATGACGATGTTATTCGCTTTTTCCTTCTACTCGCACATCTCACATTCAAGCATTTGAATAATTTTTTTCAAAATTCTCATTTTCCCTTTTTTGAAACTTAATTTCATTTAAAGCCGCTTCATATGACTCATTTTGATCTTCAAAACAATCTGACATGAACTGCATGGGTTTCTTAGTTCCACCATACTTTTCTCAATATCAGTTTTGATCGAGCAAATTTGCTCACTCATAGTGTTCCTAATGATCTCTTTAATTGAGAATTATTTCATCCATTTTGCATAAATCACTGTTATTTGTGGACTTTTCTTTGCTTTCTAGTGATCTAACCTCACTGTTTTCTTTTTCTTTACAACGAACCACTTTTTCGTCCCTATCTGCGACTTTTGCCTGGAACGCACAACTTCTGTGAAAACTCGAGCCACACTTTGCACAATCTAGCGAAGTTTCAACTGATTTTTTTGCAATGTTTCCAAGTTTTTTCATTATCGGTAATTTTAGCGTGTGTACCCGACATAACCTTATAAGAAACCCACTAGGTTCAAACGTGCAACCGTTATAACCCCTTAACATGGTTTCATCAGTCAAAAGTTCATATTCTGAAAAGAGTTTTTTGGAGGTTTCGTAATTAATGACCGAAATAGCAAAGCCACTGTCACATAAAAATTTTACGATAGTTTTATCGATCAAAACTGCAAGATTATTATCATTCTAGGAGTCAAAACCGGACGAATTTGCATAAAACATATCAGAAATTTGGACATCGTCCGTACTTACATAGGATTCATCCTATTTTTCCTCCCCATTTTCATTTTCCAACAAATTCCTGTTTTTAACTCTAAAGCATTTTTTACTGGTATGACCCATTTTGTGACATACTTGGCACTTAACTTGTTTAAAATAACATGTACCTCTATGAATATTGGGCCATTTAATTCTGTTTGGTTTTGAACATTAGGAATGTTTCCCATTTGAATTAAATATTCCAAGTGTTCTGCATCAACATTTGGAGGTTCCTCTTCATTCATGTCAATGACTATATGTATTGTGGAGTATTGCTGTCGCGGTTATTATGGCTAATGTTGTGGATAATTTTAACCTACCTTCATAAGCTAAAATCGGAAATCGCCTTTTCCAGGCTCCGAATAGCCTCTCAACAGAAATTCTTGTTCGTATATGAGTTTCAATGTAGCGTTGCTCAGCTTGATTCTGTGGAGCTGCTAGGGGAGTAAGCGAATAATTCTTAAGGGCATAACCACTGTCACCTGAAATTGAAGATTACCAATTATCAAGTTTTCAATTATTAAACAGATTAGATTATCCAAAGATGAAAAAAAAAAAAAATAGCAAGAATCTATCCAAACTAAGCTAAGCTGGTCCCTGCAACAAATAGTTGACTGTTAAACTAACACCTCACCTTAGATTTCAATAGTATTTTTTCAAAATAATATCAATTAACTAAACCAACGAAATAGTATTTGGAAACTCATTTGTCTCAAATCTTGCCCGGATATATATAACTATTTATTAAAATGGTATTGTCATGTGTGGAATCAGGCCATCTTGCAACTATATCCCTTATTTCAAGGTCAGAATCTCCTACAACTTGGGTATTGATTGAAAAGTAGCCTTTCCTATTACGAAACAATTCAGCTTTATCACCACCTTAAATGTTTAACACTTTTAAATTATTATTAAAACATTTTTATAGTTACCAGGTGATTGAATCCCAATGTGGGTGCCATCTATGCAGCCTAAAACCCTAGGAAAAGAGGCGATTTAAAAAAAAAACTTATTTCCTATGCCAACCACTTGTTCTTGCACTGGTATTGTTATATAATGTGGCCGAAGAGAAGCTATTACTTCTGATACTTTTTTTTATAGTACGTAAGGCACTGCTGACTCCAATACCCATGAAATCAGCCACTGAACTTAAATGGCCACCAGTAGCATAACACCTTAATGTTGTTAGTAATTGGTTAATGGGTGTTATATAGTTGTTTCTAAAAAATAAATGATTTTGAGGTCGCTCGCAAAAACGGCTCATTAAACGTGCATAACGAAAATGTTGTGTTCTGTCTTTCTAACTTACCTATACTCAGAAAAAATATTCAGATGAGCTATAGATGGTACGCAATACGCAATATCAGAGAGTGGTGGGATCTTACGGCTAGAAAACTGTTTCGTGCGAAGAAGCTAATAAAGAAACATTCAAGGAAATTGAAGACATGATGATGGCCAATGATATCCTCAATCTGTTCCAAAATACTCAGAACTCTCATCACAATAATTTCTCCGGTCATAAATTCTTCTGGGGAACTCATCTTCTAACAGGTCTAATATTTCGAGATCATCAAGTTTAAAATCCATATTCACATAGTTTTAAACCCAAATAAACACTTAAAAATAGGAGACGAAATGGATAATGAATTCTATATGACCGGATGTTCATCATCAACTTTAATGATAATTGATCTAAATTCAATAAATCTAGAGGATGCATTTTCTCAATGTATGTGAGGACCAGAGTCCCATGTACTTTCGTTCCTTCGATTAGAAGGCCTTAGATTATAAAGTCCTTCCATAAATCTATAAATATAATTTTTTTGTTTCTCCGGTATATTTAATATTGGAATTAAGGCAGATTTGCATGAGTTGATAGATGAAAATGATATTCCATTATTAAACATATTAAGAAAATTAATGATATGCGTGAGGTCAAATATGAGATTATGACTAGAGCTGGTACAAAAAAAAAAACACCAGTTCTCTAAATAGTTAGAATACTGTCCTAAAGTTTTCTCCGATATAGATACTGATAATGTGTCAATTCCTGTGGTTGGGAAGTTTTTTGATAAAAAAGATTGCCTGATATAATTCCTACCACTACGGAAAGGTTGTCAGTGTCTGAAAAGGGAGAAAATTACTATGGATCTGGCTTAAATGTGCCTTTGCTATGATTGAGAAAGCTGGTAATGCATAAAAAAATTATGTGACCCAATTCATAGTGAAGGCGTCAACTTCTATTGAGGCTGGATCCTTCCGCCAAGAGACATATCGAGTATATCGTCGCCCTAGTTGTGAATGGTCGTATTCCACTCAAGGTAAGTTGTGAGTAAACTGCATTTAAAATTTTTGTTTTAGGTGAAAATATGCTTTTTAATTTGTTATAATCTTATTTATTTCAAATTGAAGATTTTGACCTGAATTAATTAATCTTAAAGGTATTACAAAAATATTTTATGGAAAAAATATAATGTTTTTGCTATAATTATGTCATTATGTGGCTCAGGACTTTTCACTTATGAAATTTTTGAACCTATTTAGGTTTTCATTTCATAAGTGAAAAGTTCTAAGCCACATAACGACATTATTACAGAAAACACAAAAGTCAGTTAGTATCTTCATCATCTGAATGGGTCGGAGGGACTTCTTCCGCAGACCTCAAATTTTCATAAAATGGATGGTAAGCTGAAGGAATACACAGGGAGCTGCATAGTTGGAGCAGACTACGAAGTTTTCTCTTTTCTATATACAGAGGCTCTTTATAAAGACGTTCAACATTAACCTTTATTCACGACTGACAGATAATGTAAGTATTACATATGTGATTTTGGTAGTATAATGCCATGTATTATTCCCGCAGGGATTAATGGTCATTATTCCCGCTTGCACACCAATCAAAAAATTTCTCAAATTAGATAAGTAGTACCATGGAAACAATATACCTGAACAAACTCAAAAGTGTCAGTGTCAAACGCGTAGTGCTTGTGTAGTTGTCATATATTTGTATTGAAATGGATGAACAAAAGGCGTTTTTGGAAAGAAAATTTCAAATAAATTAATTTGTCGTGAATAAAGTAGAGTATACTACTCGCAATAATGGCTATTATTCCCTCGGAATGTTACTCCCTCGCCGCTAACGCGGCTCAGTTCGTAAATATTCTTCGGGAATGATAGCTATCATTATTGACTCGTGGTATAATCTACTATTAAACCGCTGGCAGCCCTTGTGGAGATCTTTTTAATGAGAATCGATTGAAATTCTGGATTGGAAAGTTGATCTTTATAAAATATTCTGGTAGGATCTGCCTTTCTATACTGTATCCATTTTATTTTGAGCCAATTGGCGGTTTCCCTTTTATGATTTTTGTTTCGATTTTTGATGACTATAGAGGAAAACTTTTTAAAATTTAAAAACTGATCAAAGTTAAGTTCAACTACTTTATAGAAAGGTTTTTTTGTTTTTGACGTACGTGCGTGCGTTGCATACCAACCTTCAGGCGTAAAATATCAACTTTATTGCCCCTAGTCTCAATGCTAGAATCAACACTGTCGCATCCATTTCAGAATGTCCAGATTCCATGAATTTCTGGTTCACAACTTCTACCGGTAACTCCGAAACAGCTTTAAGAAACATTGCAGCATTGATACAATTCCTGTTTTGCCCGGATGCGGTATCAGAATAAAAAATAATGTCTTTCACGAAAGGATCAAGATTGTGCAGAACATGCCACAAGCAAGTTGCAATTTCTGCGGATCCTTTCGTTCCCACACCTTCATGCCATATATAATTAGTAGCTTCAGAAGTTGCCAAGTTGTAGACAGTAAAGTTGTAAGTCTTTAACTTCTGCGCATAATATAATTTACCGACATTGAGGGATGGTGTTACAAGAACTTTTTCCATGTCCATTGTATAAGAAGCGAAGCTATTATTTACTTTGGATCGTTCCTTGTCATCTTTTTTATGGTCCCTAGCTTCTTGTTTCCTAATAAGATGTAAATCGTACTCTTCTTGTAGTGGAAACTTTTCTTGTTCTTCCAAAGAGCTGAATTTCGTGCACAAATCGCACCGATCTTTTTTTGGACGATGAAATCCAAGGTTAAATTCAGTAACGAAAACATTTCTGGTAATGCTAAATTTTTCTGGAACCACATCTCTATCTTCGCAAGAAAGTTTGTAGTCTTCATACAACCGTTTTTCGGAAAGATTGGGGGGCAAATGATTTCTTTTTGTCGTTGTTCGACAATAATGTGACGAAACTACAGGAATTGATTTTATGTGTTCTCTGATAACATTTTTCACATTTTCAGGATTTTTCTGTGGAGGACTTTTTTTACCACGCAAGTCTGGTTTAATTATGCCTGTTTCAGAACTCTTGCTAACTGCGGTTCTGACTGTCCTGCTAGAAATGTTCAGAGTGGCGAGAAAATTTTTTTGACAAACTTGACGAAGAGCTTGATTCGATGTTAAATGATAAACAAAAGTCTTTGATCGTCTGTCATTGTTTTCACTATAACATCGTTTTTTTTGGAATAATAATAAAATTCCATTTAAGCTCTTGAGATTTTAGCTCAAGAAAATTTGATAGAATTTCTTCTCGCTGTACCTTTGTAAAATATTGTTGACATTTATAATGACAACGAGATACAATATCTTTCACAGATTTAGCACCTTTAAGTTTACCTTTCTGTGTATAGTACTGTTTTCCTTCCAATCTTAAATTTTTCTGCACATTTCTCTTCCATGAATTTGGATCTCTCTTTCTTTTCCGAGTGAGCTTTTTAGTCGCATTTTCTTGGACTGGCTCGGCAGCGTTAATATCTACATCTGAATCACTCTCCCTTCTCAATTCAGCATTTTCTTGAGTAGGCTTTCCACCATTAGAAGCAACTTCTAAATCACGCTCTCTTCTTGGTTCTCTTGTGAGTTCTTCGGATTCTGAAGATTCTCCATCATCGCTGGATGGTTCATAACTATCTTCACTATCGGTAAATCCAAAATTCCCGTCTTCGACATCGATTCTAGTGTCAGACTCCACATAACTTGAACTTGGTTCTGCATAAGGGATTCCTTCATTCAGTGGCTTTTCATCTGAAAAAAAATATTTTCGATAATATTGCATTGTTATCCAGTTATGAGTCTAATGATCAAAGGTTCAAGTCTCTAGCTCATCTGGAAGTTAGTTTAAAACAGTTTTTAAATCAATACAATTTTTTTAGAGACAAGAACGCGAATTAAACCACGGCAACGTTATTAAAATGAAAAACACCATTGAGAAACAGTATTTTTACATAAAAATGCAAGAAAACCACGTAAAACAACAAAGAAAACATTTAGAAATAGTGCAAGCTTTGTTTTGCCACAAATAAAATTTGAATTGAAACCTTATAGTCCTCGGTTAGTTCCTAGTGAAATATTTAACATTACACTCACTAGAAAATGGTTCCTTTGAAGTAATAATGGAGGATTTGTCGGGAATTTCCTCCTGGCTGCTATTTGGGTTAGTTACTCTTAAATAATCAGAACTATCTGTTGAATTACTGACATTACGGCTGTATGTGTCTGAATTTCATCTAAAAAAATGACAAAAGAGTTAATTAAACACTTTAATTGGACATTCCTAATTCCGTGAATTCACCCAATAACTTATTTAATATTTGTTTGATGTCCTTACCAGGTATTGGTACCGGGGTTAATGTAGCGTAAGTCAAGCTATCTTCATCATCATCATCATCACTGAAATTATTGTATTCGTTGATTTCCTGGTTGAGTGCTAGTTGAAGTATTAATTTGCTCTTTGCACTCATTTTCAAAATTTCTTCACACTTCAACAACACAACACGTACTAACAAAGGCATCAAAACTTGTCATCACTTGTAAAATGTCGATTAGAGCTATTCACTGCTACTGAAATACTTCCGCCAAAGGAATTGAATTATTGTAGTGAAAAGTGCTAAGTCGCTTAGGACTTTTCACCATGGAAGATTTGTGGCTTATTCATTGCAAGTGGTGCATGCTGAGTTTTTCCGCTGTGGTTATTTTGTAGTTTTTCTAAGTGTTAAAACTTAAATTAATTATAGGAAACAGTCTCATAAGTGTCTTGAACATATTTCAAAGTGTGGGAGTAGAAAAACATCTTGTTTTTCTTTGAAATTTAGTGTACAATCCGCTTTTCAAGGTTCATTAAGTGAACGTGTTGTGCCGCTGTTACCAATATGCCAAAAGGTACAACGTGTAATATCTGCAAAAAGATTGTACAAGATGACCAGCAGGGTGTTTTTTGCGAATCCTGTGACAGTTGGAATCACAGTCTGTGTGTCACTTTCGCAGAGGGCCTATTTTCAAATTAGCGAGTCTAAGGACCCCTGGATTTGTTATCCATGTAAGCAAGATAACAAGAGCAAAAAAACGTCTGCAGCAAAAGATTATTCTCTTGCTAATGTCATGGAAAAACTGTGTACTATGGAGAGCAAATATGATGTGCTTTTCAAGAAGTATGAGGAGCAAGAGGCGAAGAATGTTAAATTAGAAAAGGAACTGGTAACTATAAAACAACAACTTAATGAATGGGAGCAGCGAGAACTGGAAAAAAATGTAATTATTCAGGGAGTACCAACTTACGCTAATGAAAATCTAAATGAAGTTATAAAAAAATTTGCTAGAAAGCTAGATATAAACTTGAATGACACTTTTTCGGCTTTTCGCCTGGGCAACGATCCCAAGAAATCCTGTCCTATTAAAATCGAATTCCAGGATATTAAGGACAAAGAGTCGTTTGTAAAATCCAAAAAGGGGCTAAATCTAAACACTCATGATTTAGGATTTACAGAAAACAATAGAGTATACGTGAACCATGATCTTACTAAACTCAACCTGCAAACTGTATATGGCCGCGAAAACGTTTAAGAAAGAACATAATTACAAGTATGTATGGCTGTCCCGTGGTAACGTCTTTATCAGAAAGGAGGATCAATCCAAAATCATCTTAGTGGAAAGTAAGGAACAATTGTCTGAATAGCAGTCGACAAAAAGTAAGTTAACCGTCCTATATATGAACATTCAAAGCCTTCGTAATAAGTTCGATGATGTACAATGCCTTCTAGTTCGAGAAAACTGTGATATTTTGGCTCTGTCAGAGACGTGGGTGAGTGACAATGAATCTTGTTTATAGACTGTGAGATAGGGGCTGTTTAGTGGAGTTATTTTTTTCTGTCTGGCATTTTGAGGGCTGAATGTGGCTACTAAGCTGATGAGAATATGGGTGATTTTAATGCCGGCCTCCCGTTCGAAAATTAGCAGAAGAAAAAAAATAATTTACATGAAAAAAAAAATTTCAATGATCTCAAATTTTCTAGTTTTTAAATAAAAGATTGACATTGATGAATAATTCACCCATGAAAAATATCAGATGCTTTTCAATAGCTGAAAAAATGGGGATGGGTGTCAACTTCCAAGAGAAAAGAAAAGAACCTTCCGCGTTTACTTTTTGTCTGGCAATCGAGAGAATGAAAGGTTTTGTTGTGAAAATAACGCTGAAAAATCGCCAGACGGTAATCACAGTTCGAAGTCGAGTTTTCGGGCGAAACATTATGTGGACATTTCGAACAGGAGGCAGGCGTTAAAACCACCTATATTCTCATCAGCTAACTAGTCACATTCATCCCTCAAAATGCCAGACAAAAAAAAAATTACTCCACCAAACAGGCCCTATCTCAGGGTCTAGAGAAAAAAGGGGTGGGGGTGTTTCGTTTTTCATAAAAAAATCATTAAAATTCAGAATGATAGATATATCTAAAAAAAGCTGTGAAGCAAGTTGGCTGTGTATCAAATTGGATGACTGCAATATTAAACTTAGTCTTATTTATAAGCCGCCATCATTTAATAATGGGGATTTTTTCTCTGATTTAGAGAATGTATTATTAAAGCATTCAAAAAGACATGTCTTAATTGGCGACATAAATATTAATTTATTAGAAAATTCAAACCTAGTTACAAATTATAAAAGATTGTTAACTTTAAATAATTTTAAAATTGTCAATCACATATCAGAGGAAAATGCTACACGAGTCACCCCAAACCATAAAAGCTTAGTTGATCATGTTATTTCCGATTATAACTCAAATTTAATAAATCTTATTGATGTACAGTATAACAGTTTATCAGATCATAATAGACTGGCAATCCAAATACAGGCTAGAACCAAAATTTATAAACCAAAAATTAAACAAACAATTAATTGTTTGGATAAGAGAAGGTTCATTTCTACATTTAGATATAAAATCACTAGTAATAGGGCAAGTACACGATCTGACAGTTTTACACTCTTGACAGTCGCCTTGAGGTAAAACAAAGATATAATTTACAGTGTTTTTTAAGTTTTCAGTTAGATTTTTTTAAATAAATACCTTTTGTGTGCTCCAGAAGTTTCTTGGACATGCCTAGAGTTTGTTTAGTTGTTAATTGTGGCAGTATAGCGCAAGGAATACAATATCCTTCCATAGGTTTCCATCAATTTTAAATAACAATGGGAAGTTTGATTTGTTAGCTCAAGAGAGAAGAGAAAAATTGATTAATATTCTTAAAAGAGAAGATCTGACAGAAAAATAGATTGAATATAGAGTAACTATGCTTATATATTTGTTCTTGTGACACTTGGTTTTGATATTTGTTGGAAAAAACCTGAATTTAATTCATTATAGAAAAACCTAGCCAACTTTTAGATAAAAGACCACATAAACTGGAACACAAACACTACGCTCTAACTTTTTTTAAACAAAATAACACCAAAACTTGTGAAAAAGCTGTGAAAACCGCATAAAACATAACCGGCCTAATCTAAACGAATGTAAATAAATGATTTGTTTCACCTCAGGGCGACTGTCAAACTCATTTCTGACGTCACATGGACATGCCCTATTCGATAGAAAATTTTAATGAATTAATCACTCTTATTCAAGAATCAAAAAAATTATCCGAGTTTGAAAAAACGATAAGAGTAAGAGGTAACAACCAGTGGATTACACAAGACATTTTGGACCTAATGAATAAACGTGACAAAGCCTATGAGAGAATGATAAAAAATCGTGGCAACGCTGTAGCTGAGACCGAATTTAGGCATTTAAAGAATCAAGTTAACAATAAAATTAAATCAGCAAAAAATTGTCACTTTCGTACAAAGTGGAACCAGACCGGCAATAACAAGCAAATGCAATGGAATTTTATCAATAGTTTTTTCAATAAAAATACCAAAAATAATTATATTGATTTTTTAACAGTAGACAATAACAAAATTAAAAATCGTGTAGATATTGTAAATAATTTAAATTCTCACTTCGCGAATATTGGAGAGAATATAGTTAATGAACTGAATGAAAAAAAGAACCTAACTGATAATAGTTTAGAATTTAATGAGGTATTATGTAATAACCAAATAACAAATGTTGAATTGACGAATTTCTGTGAGGTTGATGAAATTATACAGGAACTAAAAAAAAATTCGGCACCGGGACACGATGGAATAACAACAAAAGATATAATTAGTTTAAAAAATTATATTCTAGAGATTTTAACGAAGTTAATAAATAATGTACTTGTTAGTTGCACTTTTCCGCCAGAATTAAAAATTAGTAAAATAAATCCTATATTTAAATCAGGAAAGGCTCTTATGAATAACTACAGACCTATCTCAGTTATTAGTATTTTTTCAAAAATCATTAAACGTAGGATGCTGCAATTTATTGGAAATAATATAGAAGTTGACAGGTTTCAGTATGGTTTCATCAAGGGTAGTAACACACTATCAACTACATTCGATTTTGTAAATTATGTCTCAAAAAACCTTGACCAGAAATATATGCTAGTTGCAATATTTGTCGATTTGAGGAAGGCTTTTGACGTAGTTTCATTGGATAAAATGCTACATAAATTGGGTTTACTGGGATTTCAGGGTAATTTTTTATTATTAATTGAGTCATATGTGAGGGATCATTACCAATATGTTAAACTAAACAATACTCAAAGTGAAATGTTAACAAATAGATTTGGGGTACCGCAGGGGTCAGTATTAGGACCTTTGCTTTATTCATTATATGTTTTAAATCTTAGACTAGCAAATCTCACAGCGCATTATTTTACATTTGCTGATGATACGGCTCTTATCTACACAGGAAAAGAAGAAAGTCATTTGACCAATCAAATAAACGAAGATTTAGATCGTTACCTTGAATGGTTGTATTCAAATAAATTGAAAATTAACTTAGATAAAACAAAATATTTACAGCTGTATGCAACATCCTCTTTTAACTTAAAAGCGCTTTTTAAAACTGGTTCCTTAAAAAATTTGTATAGCTTAGAATACACATCTTTAAAAGTGACCAGTTTTAAAAAGCGCTTTTAGGTTAAAAGAGGATGTTGCATACAGCTGTTAGTGTTTAGACAAAAAAATTAAATATTTGGTAATATTGAGATTAAAATAAACAACGTCTCTCTTGAACAAGTTGAAAATATTAAATATTTAGGACTATTAATTGACGATCTCTTGCCATTAATCACGTAATTGAAAAACTAAATGCAATGGTACCGATCTTATATAAATGTCGACAATATCTTACATATAATATAAAGATGAATGTATACAACTCATATTTTCTTTCCCATTTAAGATATCTAATTCCCATATGGGACATATGCAGTTCGACCAATTTAAATGATATTCAAGTTCAACAAAACAAAATTTTAAAGGTTCTTTTTAATTACAATATACTAACTAACACAGAATATTTATATACACAACTAAATGTGTACAAAA